CATAATTTCTGATATATCTTTTATATACTTGAAATATGAGTCAAAAAGTCATAATTTCTGCATATTGCTGTATATTACTATATATACTATCCTATGTATCTTATTCAGTACGTAAATGACGTAACATTAGTTACTGATCATGTGATTACCTTCCAAACGTAGGGTTGAGTTGCTTGGATACGTAATTATCACGATCCTTGACTTTGTGTTTACCCAGCGTCACCATGATGTATGGATCAGCCTTACCGTTCACGTCTGATGGATGAAGGTTGAGAGCCTACAGTACGTGAAACAAAAACATTACATCTTATTCAGTACGTAAATGACGTAACATTAGTTACTGATCATGTGATTACCTTCCAAACGTAGGGTTGAGTTGCTTGGATACGTAATTATCACGATCCTTGACTTTGTGTTTACCCAGCGTCACCATGATGTATGGATCAGCCTTACCGTTCACGTCTGATGGATGAAGGTTGAGAGCCTACAGTACGTGAAACAAAAACATTACACATTAAAACCGTGAAACAAAAACATTACACATTAGACCCGTGAAAAAAACATTACGCATTAAACCCGTGAAAAAACAGAAAACGTTAAACCCGTGAAAAAAACATTGCACATTAAAACCGTGAAACAAAGTTTAATATTCTAACAAGGCGTGAAAGCAAAATAGACAGGAAGGTAGTGCCTTTCCCACGGCCGTTGATCTTTAATAAAGAAAGGTGGCTGTATTCGAAAAAAAGCAATGGATTGATCACCTAAGACCCGGTTTATACGCCGAACCAAATAGTCAACTTCTATTGAATTACACTTGGCATGAAGGTGATTCATACAATAATATTACGTTACCTTGACAACGTACACCCTGCAAAGAACGTTGACTGGTTCGTTGCTTGGCAATTTCAAGAATGTTCCAACGATGGGGTCCATTTCGACATGCTCAGGAAGTGGGTACTTCCAGACTTTCAGTGAGCCCTGGCAAAAAAATATAGTGTTATTAGCACATGTTAACAATGGATAAAACCTGGTCTATCAATTTTCTGACTCTCCCGTTTATGATCAGGAAAACCCGTGGCGGTTACTATTTTATGTAAGAAGGTTAGGCTTAGGCTTAGGTTTAGGGTAAGGCCTAGAATGAGGAAGAAGGTTAGGTTTAGGATTCTGTCTTTTCTTACATGAAGTACCAACCCCCCGTGGCTACAAATGGGTTGGTCAAAAACAATATGACTTCATTACCTTAAATTTACCCACAATTCTGTGTTCATCGTCGTCATCTTCGCTGGTCTTCTTACCGCGGAAGAGTGGGAACGAGTGAAGCCAGTCATTAAACCCATTGAAGTCTAACATTTCCTCAAGCTCACTCTTGAAAATCTTAAAAAAAGGTTGAACCTCAAGATTAAGACAGCAACAAAAAACAAAACAAAATACAAGCAATAAATAAGTCTTGTTTGGATATACAGTCAACTCTCTCGAAAGCGACCACCTCGGGATGGTCGCTTACGAGAAAGTTTTTTTACAGAGTTTATATGGGAAACTGAACAAAACAAGAAATTTAAAAGGTGGTCGCTTACGGCAGATGGTCGCTTACTAGAGTGGTCGTTCAAAGAGAGTTAACTGTATTTTGAGATAAATCGTACCGTGATCCTTGGAATTGCTCTTCGCCTTTTCTCTTCTTCTGATTCTTCTTTTTCCTTTGGAGGTTTCTTCTTTGAGGAAACCGTAGGCTTATCAGCTTCYTTTTCTGCTTTCTCGAGGTCTTTCATCGTCTCGTAGTAACGTGACCACCAGTCAAGGGAATCTTCGTCGTCATCGTCTTTGGAATCTTTGTCCTTATCACCATCTCCTTTCTTCTTCTTTTCCTGAAAATGACATTTTGAATTTCTTATCAGTCTGCTCTTTCTTATAAAATAAAATGAAGCATTAGTAGTGTTGTATAAAAAGACACTACTATCGGCCGTGAATGCATTCTGATAGAGTCTCTCAAACAAATCACTGCATTCATACAGACCATGGCTTACCATCATTTCCAGGTTTTCCAGGTCCATAGGTGGTGGGGGTTCCTCCATATCCAACGCGATTTCAGACGGTGAGTTGGGTCGCGATGGGCCGTTCGCGATTTGTTCTGTAAAAGATATAAATATTGCCTTTACTTTGAGATRATTCTTATTTTACTAGAAT